AATTGAAATCGCATCATATGACCCCTTTAAATAAAACTATAATTAAAACCATACCTGCATGTTGATTAATATCAGGAATGCACTGACACTGGCTGATATTAAGTCAATCATTATTTTAGTGTTATGACTTAAGACCGATAACAAAAGTTGTTATCAAAATGAATTAAAAATAAACACTAACAACACTAATTTGATTTATTTTTTTATTTCTGTGGTCAAAGCTGAATTTTCAGCATCATTACTCCAGTCTTCAGTGTCACATGATCTTCAGAAATCATTCTAATATACTCTCTTAGTCCAAATATAAAAATGTGGGAAATGTACAATTAAATATCAAACAGATAAATAAATTAAATTAAAAAAGGTTGTTACCAATATATTGTGCATTTGAATCTATTTGCTAATTTTGTGTAAGGAATGGAACAAAAATTATTACTCATATCTACATCGACATATATTTGAAAAATATTGACGTCAACCCTGGTCTTGAAGGGCCATATCCGAGTAAGATTTGATCATGCGTGCATGATCTGAGAGGAGTTATGAAAGTTTATCATACCATATTCATCATGAACCAGTGTTTCTGTTGCTCTTCTGAGGTTACTTGGGTAAATAAATATTAAGAAACGTTCTTGTTGAGGATTGAGTCTAATTCTTCTACTGACGATCAGCATCCAGGACCTCAGCGGTGCATCTGAGTGTGCTATATAGAGATGTTTTTCTCATGCTTATTCAGGAATTTAGATTAACTCAAACATCCCAGCAATGAAGTCACATGGAAATATGAGGAGAAAAGCAGCTGTTGAAGGGAGTGAAACTGCACAGATCATCTCTTCTCACAGTTTTGCTGTGCTCAGGACAAAATGATGTGTAGATATTACATTAAACCGTAACGGCTGATCAACAGAATCTGACTTTTCCTTTTGCTTTTAACCAATTACACCAGTGCCTCGTTTACATTCGACACTTTTAAAGCATTTAATGTGACCCCTGAAGTTCATTTGTAATGTTAGTCAAGGTTTCTTACGCAGTTTAAGTTTTTCATGACTTTTTCCACCTTCTCTCTGACCCTGTTTTTTCTTCTATACCGTTAAGAGATATGTATGCAAATTAGCTCTGTTGTGATTGGCTGACCTCTGCCTACCGACATAGTTTAAAGCTATGCCGATAATAAATTATATTTTACGATATTTTAAATTATAAAACTTTTCTGACAATATTACATAGATCCTATTGTTGATATTTGAGCATTCCTTTATATTTCCAACAGTTAATGAAGAAATTGGTGTGAATTTCCAAACTAAGTTGTTTTGGGTTTGTTTTTCTTGTTTGTTGAAGCACACAGTAGTGCATAACACTGTGTTTTCCATGATCTGATCCCGTGGAGTGTGGTGGTGATGTGATGGAGTCTATATCGCCCGAGTTACTGTAAATGACTGAAATCCTGCTTTGTCTTCAACAGGGCGACGATTGAGGAGGTGGAGGGCGACGTCTGTGAGCTCGAGTCCAAACTAGACAAGGTACGTTTGGACTGCTGCTCAACTTATAGAGATTAATGGGCAGTGATGAATATGCAGAGAATATGGCCTGTGTTTCCTTCAGTAATCTGTTTTTGCAGCCTTTGTCCTACCTTTGCTATGTTTAATTGCTTTAATTTTTTGATGCATTTATTCATATTATAATTTATATTTTATTATAATATACATTTATATTATAATATATAAATAATAACAAATATAATTACAATTATATTAGTGAACTGTATAGTAAAATAAATGTTCATTTCTGTATTTTAATTATTTGAATTAAATATTTAAAAATACAAAACAAAAAATTTAAATGTTAAATTATTTATATTAATGATTATTTAATTCACATTTTATTGAAATATAATTAATATAATAACTTGGTAGTAAAATTAATTTTCAGATTGTGTAATTTCATTATATTTAAATTTTAATTTTAATAATTGTAATTTATCATTTTAAAATACATTTTCAATATTAGTAAACTATATAGTCAAATTAAGTTTCAGGTTGTGTAATTTTATTATATTAAAGTTTGAATTTTAATAATTTTAATAATTGTATTTTATCATTTTAAACAATTATGTGTTTAAATAAAATTAAGAAAATAATTTAAATATGTAAAAAGTTTGTGTTTGCATAATATATGTGTGTGTGTACTGTATATATGAATATGTGTATACAGTATATATATATATATATATATATATATATATATATATATACATATATATATATATATTTTGACTGGTACTGTACTATAATATACACAAAGAATATCGGCCGATATATCGGTATCGGCCTTTTTTTACTCCCTAATATCGGTATCGGCCCCAAAAAACCCATATCGGTCGGGTTCTAATATATATATATATATATATATACACACACACACACACACACATAAATAAATATTTCTTAAATATATACATGTATGCATGTGTATTTTTATATATATATATATATATACATATATACAATACACACATATTATGCAAACACAAACTTTTATTTTGGATGCGATTAATCGATTTGACAGCCCTAGTAAATATGTTTATATCATGCTATGAATATAGTAATTATTCAGCTGATTTGTATTTCCATGTAATATCATCTAGTACTTCTTTAGTTATTCTGCTATCGAAAAGCAGTGCAGTAAACATGTTTTTTTTTTATTACAAATTTCATTAGCGGCATAACATTTTGAGTTAACATAATTTGCTTAAATGTCAACAGCACTCAAGCTGACACGAACAAAACCTGAGGATCATGATTTGAAAATATCTATTCCCATAATCTCAAAATGCCCAAATATCAGCCTAATACTAAAGCAGCAGCAACATCTCTCTGCTAAGTCTTAGTTTGGTTTGAGCTCTTTCCTGTCGAGCGCTGTACTGAACAGCAGCGGGACTGTCGGACTGGGCGGTGCAGATTCAGACACACCCAGCGTCATTTGGCCGAGTGACTCAGAGTCAGGCCGCTCACTTCCTCCTCTCTCTGAGGAAGGATATGAGATCTTTAGGAGGAGCTGATGTAGCTTTTCTTAGAAATTGACACAGATTGTAAATGTGCGCAGTGTGAGATGTCGTAATTCAGCATCTACATCAACATCAGCCATCAACAAACCTGGAGACAGGTATTACTATAGCACCAATCAATCAATCAATCAGTCAGTCAGTCAGTCAGTCAGTACTTGTTTTGTTTTGGTTTGATTTGGTTTGGTTTGGTTGGTTTTGGTTTGGTTGGTTTTGGTTTGGTTTGGTTTGGTTTGGTTTGTTTTGGGTTGGTTGGTTGGTTGGTTTTGGTTTGGTTTGGTTTGGTTGGTTTTGTTTTGTTTTGGTTTGGTTGGTTTTGGTTTGGTTGGTTTTGTTTTGTTTTGGTTGGTTTTTTGTTTTATTTCATTTCTGTATGTGTGTTTTGTTTTGACCAATAAAGTACCAACCCCTTTTCTAAGCAATCAAACTTTATTTTAGAACTTGACAAATTTTTTTTTTTTTTTTTTTTTTTTTTGACTACTAAAAAAAAAAAAAAAAAAAAAAAAAAAGGAGCCGTTTTCTCATTTTTCTACTTTCAATATTAAATCAAAAAACGAATGATCGAATGATACACGGATTAATCAGACTTTATTATTTAACCTTATATTTTCATTTTGTGTTTATCTTGTTTTTTGTTTGTTTGTTTGTTTTTTACCATACTTTATAACCTGATATTTTTGTTTTGTTTTGTTTTTGTTTTGACAAACCACTTTTCTAAGCAATCAGACTTTTTTTTACCTTATATTTTCATTTTGTGTTTTTTATCTTGTCTTTTTTTGTTTGTTTAGACCAGACTTTATTTATAACCTGATATTTTTGTTTTGTTTTGACCACTTACAAAAATAAAGCACCAACCACTTTTCTAAGCCATCAGACGTATGAGTTTTGCCTGATGGGTTGAATACAATGTGATTGAATACAAGCCAAAACTAAATGCCACAGATTTTTAATTATTTATTTGTGTATATTTATATACTTTACATCTATGTTTTATTTATCTATATTTTATGTGTTTACTGTACCTTTATCTGTCAATGTACTGTGTATTTTGTTTAGCTGGTGAAGCTATGCATCGGGATGATAGATGCTGGAAAGGCGTACAACACGGCCAACAGGCAGTTTGTGAACGGGATTCAGGAGTTGGCACAGACTTCTGCCAAAGATGATGTTATCGAGGTGAGTGCAGACGATTAGCGTAATGACCAATCAGCTCTTATTAGCCCAGGGGCTTTCAGAATCACAAACCTGTTGAGCCGCTCGTCTGAAAGTGTCCCTGGAGCGAAAGCTGTGTTTGGTTTGCTGTACTTTGACTAGTATGACATGCCAATTGAAAGACTGCTGTTTATTTGGTGATCGTTTGAAAGCAGGCTTGGTTTGTGTTCACACAAAAACATTGGCTGCATTCCTAGCCTTCGCATATTTACTTTCTTTCTTCTTTGAAATATCCATTGTGCATTGTACTAGGAAAACATACCAGTGTATTTCCTCGTATATGCATCTGGTGCAGGTAAATACCAGTGTTTCACAACCTTTTTGTGTTGTTACTACCTCCACAGTTCCATCAGTAAGAAACCCTTCATCAACACCAAACCTGAAATGTATTCATTATAAAGTCCTGGATATGTTTTAGCATTATTTTGTTTTGTTTTCTTAAATAACTGAGTGTTATTGCGTTTAAAGGGACATGGTGATGGTAAAAGAGAGAGAGAGAGAGATTAGTGAAAAATTATATTTCAATGCTTTTGCGTTATTTTGCAAGCAACATTTTTTGGGGGGAGTGCAATATTTTTGTGATTGAATGCAGTAGTTTTGCCAGAGAGCACAAAAGCTTGGTGCGCAAATACAGAGTTTCTTTTGCGAGAGAACGCAACATTTTTTTTCATCACCATGAACCTGTTAGTGTTCAATACAGTAATGCAAAAAAATGCAAGTTATGTTTTTTTTTTTTGTAATAATTGTAAAATTTTGACAACCCTATTTTTTAAAGTCATCATTTCTGTTTTGTAGGCTAGATTTAACAAGTATAGATTTGTTAAATTATTTTTTAAAATTACAGTATATTAAGATATAGAGGTTTGATGACCATGGTAGTATTTGTTTTACTGAATTTGTACTGACTAAAAATAAATTTCATTGTATTACAGTACAGTATACAGTATAATTTATTTACTGTAATTTTTAACTTTTTTTATTATAAAACAATATGAAAGTCAAAATGAGAGCTTGGAAGGAAAATATGGTGAACATGTCAGACTTCAGTTTTTAAGCTTTTAAGTTTTGCTTTGTTTTGAGTTGTTTTATTTATTTATTTTATTTATTTATTTATTTAGTGATTTAGCAGACGCTTTTATCCAAAGCGACTTACAAATGAGGACAATAAAAGCAGTCAAAACTAACAAAGTTTTTTAAATAAAAAAAATAAAAAAAGATAAATATAGATATAGATAAAGTAGAATTAAAATAGAATAGAAAGTGTTAGAGTTAGAGGGTCAAAT